TGCACCAGCCAGCTCATCTGGCAGATACAGTTGAAGGGGTTGCCGGCAGCCGTCATGGCCCGCAGCCTGGGGAAGAAGCCGGAGAAATCCCGAGGGATGGTGTTGATGTTGAGGTTGCTGATGTCCAGCTCCTGGAGGTTGTGGAGGCTCTGGAAGTCCTCAGCCGGCAGCTGGGAGATGCGGGCGTTGCCGGCCAGGCTGAGCCTGGTGAGGCTGCCCAGCCGCCGCAGCACTGCCGGGACACGCTCCAGCAGGTTGTCAGAGACGTCCAGCTCGTGGAGGTTGTTTTGGACCTGGAAGAGCTCCTCGTTTAAGCTCGTCAGGCCCAGCCCTGCGATCTTCAGGGACTCAATGCTGACGGCATGGAAAGCCCCTGGTGCAATGGTGGGGATCTTGTTCCAGCTGATGTCCAGCAGCAGGAGGTTGGGCAGGTCAAGGGGGGGTACAGCCCTGAGCTGGTTGCTCTGCAGCTTTAGCTCCAGCAGATTCTCCAACGTGTCAAAGGCAGCAGCGTGGATGTGCTGGATCCTGTTCCTCTGCAGGTAGAGCCGTTCCAGCAGCCGCAGCCCGTGGAAGGTCTCATTGGTGATCTCCTGCAGCTGGTTGAAGGACAGGTCCAAGTTGACGAGCTCCGTCAGGGGTTGGAAGATGTTTCTCTCGATGCTGGTGATTTTGTTTTGTGAGAGGTCCAGGAGCTGAAGGGCAGGCAGCCCTGCAAAGCTGTCCTCACTGAGCGTAGTGATGCCGTTCTCAAAGACATAGAGGGAGAGGGTGCTGGGGGGCAGCCCCCGGGGCACCGTCTGGCCCCGCCTGGCCGCACACAGGATGGTCTTGGGGTCATGGCACTGGCAGCCTGCAGGACATGCCCTGGCCAGCTCCACAAGGGCCAAGAGCAGCAGTGTGCAAAGGATCAGCTGGTTCATGGTGTCAGCTCTGTGGAGAGACAAGCGCAGCCAGGGTTAGGGGATGGGCCCTGCTGGGGGGTACCCAGGGCTGGCAGGGCTATGGGGCACCTCTGAACCCTGCTCTGCCTCCAGGGCTGGTGAGAGTGAAGCAGCGCAGGGGCTGCCCACCCCAGCTCCATGCTTCCCCCTCCCCAGACTCCCAGCATTTGGGGTTGTGGTACCTTGGCACACCCCAGGCTCTACCATGAGACGCGTCCCACTGGTACTGGGGCTTTTTTCGGTGGGGCACCAAGACCTTTTCCAGTACTCACAAGGGCCCCAACCTCCCCAGCTGCTCAGCAGGGTGCAAATCAAACACAGGGGATGCAGAGAATCAGAGCACCGGGAAGGGGTGGGAGCCTGGCTGGCCTCCCCTGCGTAGAGCTCAGCTTAACCCTTTGCTTGTGCTGCCGTCGCAGCAGCTGCACCTCAGGGGCTGGTCCTGCCCGGATCACCAGCAGCAGCAGTCCCTCTTGGGCACAGGGACACCCAGAGGTGGCCTGGCCACAGAGTGTGGGGCTGGAGGAGCCATTTGTGTCCCCACAGAGTCCAAGGGTTCACACTCACCCCCAGCTAGCCCCTGTCCCCACAGGTCACCTTGCTGTTCCCCTCACTGTTGCACTCCAGGGACTCAGCACAGCACCAGAGCTGTGTCCCCATCCCTTGAGGACTGGGTCAGCAGGGATGGAGGGAGGAGGCTCTGGGGTGAACAAGGCTGTAACCAGCCCAACCCCAGCTCCCCACAGATGCCCTGGCCAATGTCACAGCCGCTGTATGTGTTCCGAAGGGCTCCTCTCTCAGCCACATCTTTCAGCCCCTTTAATGACACTAGGCTGGGCCAGAGACTCACAATCTCCTGCCACTCCATCTCAGGGTCAGGGGGAGGTGGCAGAGGGGGATCCCTGGGCAAGGAAGAGGCAAACCCTTCCCCAGCCCCATCTGTTGCCCCCTCCTCCCTGCTCAGAGCTGTCAGAGATCCAGGCAAACGCCCCCCCTGTGGCTCACAAGGGGCCCCCGCCGTGTGTGCAGCACGTGCCACCTGCCCCAGCCCCGTCAGCAGTGCAGGGACACCACAGGGACACCACATCCTGCACCAGGAGGGTCTGGACCCGTGCTGTGTCCTCTTGTCCCCCTGCTGGGGTGTTGGACAGGGTTAACACCGCAGCCAGCTCTGTCCTTGCCTCCTCCCGAGCGGCCCCCCCCAAGGGTGGGGTGAGCCCACGGCTGGGCAGGGTCACCACAACTGCCTGAGTCACTTGGCCTGACCGGCCCTGCCCTGATGTGACCTGTGCTGTCAGCCCCTGAAACCAGGGAGGAGCTGTGCCACATCCAAGAGGTCACTGTCACCCAGGGGTCACCATCACTGCATCCCAGCACCCCCAGCTCAGTCCCTGCACCCCACATCACAATCAGACTGCCAGCAGAGATAGAGACACAACACGGAGACCCTGTGGAAGTGCTGTTCGGGTCTGGAGGCAGACTCGGCACCCTTGAGGTGGCTCCAGCATCCAGAGTGAGCTGGCTGGTGGGAGAGCCCTGGGTGCAGGGTGCTGGCAGTGCCACAGCCGTGCCAGCCCGCCCGGGTGGGCAGCGCCGGAGCGGGGCCAGGCCTGAGGGATGCTGGCGAGGCCGGGGCTGGTTTTGCAATGCCAGGGTCGGGTTTCGCTGACGTGTCCCGTGCTGCAACCAGCTGCTGACTCCAAGTCTCTCTCGTCCCTTTAATTACGCTGGCATTTCCTCCCCGCCTGCCAGGCTCCCCGCTCCGGGCAGGTTCGGCCAGCCCGGCCACGGCCGCGGATCCGCNGGAAGGGGAGCAGGGACAGGGGAAGGGGTCACAGGACCAGCGGAGAGGGGACAGAGGCAGGGGAGGGAGGAGAGGGCCTGGGGAGGGGACGGGGTCCGGGAAAGGGCCTGGGTGGGGGGACAGGGCCAGAGAAGGGGGGACAGGGCCAGGTACGGCCATGACAGGAGTCACGTGGGGTCAGAGCAGAGATGACAGAGCCAGGGTCGTGCAGGGCCCATGGGGAGGTGACAGAGCAAAGGGGCTGTGGTGACAGCAGGGTGTCCCCACAGGCCAAGTACCTGGCACAGATCATTCTGGTGGGGGCCCAGGTGGTGGGACGGGCCTTCATGCGGGCGCTGCGCCAGGAGTTTGCAGGTAGGAGCTGGGATGCTGCTCCGTGTGTCCTGCTGGGCACTGCTCCACATCCCCACCCTTCCCTGTGCTCCCCATCCCTGGGCCATGCCTGCAGGGGACACTGCCGGGTTGTCACAGGGCTCTGTCCTGGCCCTGGCACTGCTGCCAGGCTCACAGAGATCCCAGTGTCCCAAAGGGCAGAGTGGGATAATCCCTGGGATGTGGCAGCCCCAGCCCTGCCTTGCCTGCAGCAAACGGTGCCCGCCTGGTCCCTGCCGCCTCCCTGGCATTGGGACAGTGTCCAGATGGCCCCGGGGTGGCTGGATGGGGACACCGGGGTCTGGGCACCTGGAAGTGCTCTGGCTTTGCTGCCTGAGGGTTGGGGTGGTGTGGGGGACTCAGGCCCTGGTATCCCCAGCGAGCCAGGCCGCAGCCGATGCACGAGGACGCGCAGAGAGGCCCCAGTCCGCTGCTGCCTCCAGGATCATCGGCATCAGCCTCCAGGAGGCTCAACAGATCCTCAATGTCTCCAACCTCAACCCTGAGGAGATCCAGAAGGTAGAGGCTTCTTTGGAACCAGGGAGGGATGGTGCTGGCAGGGCCTGGCCGCTCCAAGGGCGCTACTAAGCTTGGGGGTGGCAGCTGGTCCCCCGTGCTGTCTTGGGCCCAGTTAATGATGGTTTGAGAATTCCCTGCCCCAGCTGGAGCAGCACTCCAGGCCTGATCTCTGCAGCTGCCCAGCAGGGCTGCTCAGGGAAGGGATGTGGGACCTCTGGAGGTGCCCAGCTGGAAACATGGGGACTCGGAAGGGGTGTCAGGCAGAGCCAGCTGTGTCCCCAGGATCACTCTTCAGCAGTGCTCTGGGGAGTGGGAGGCTGCCAGGGTTTGGGAGTGGGAATGGCAAAGGATGAGATGATTCTGACCGAGAGCTTCTCTCGTCAGAACTACGACCACTTGTTCAAGGTGAACGACAAATCAGTGGGAGGCTCCTTCTACCTGCAGTCCAAGGTGAGCACTGGGAGGAGCAGAGTGGGAGCAGCACCTTCCCCTTCCCCTGCCTGCATTCTGGGACAGGCAAAAGTCCCAAATGAGCCTGGTTATACCCATGGATGAGGCAGGGAGGGGAGGGGGCACCCCATCCCTCAGTGTCACCCCATCCCTCGGTGTCACCCCATCCCTCGGTGTCACCCCGTGTCCCACAGGTGGTGAGAGCCAAGGAGCGGCTGGACGAGGAGCTGCGCATCCAGGCCAAGGGTGACAAGGAGAAGGGGCGGAAAGCCGAGACGTGACTCCTGCCCTCCGTGCCCCCCACCCTTAACTTATAGGTAGCCAATAAACACCATGTCCTCCAGCACCTGGCCTGGCTGCTCCACACCCGGGGAGGGAACGGGGACCTGCCTGCCCAGCGCTGCCCTGGAGGGATCGGCCCCTGTGAGGGGCTGCGTTTGCCCAGGGGAGGAGGAAGAGGAGGAGGAGGATCAGGGGGCAGTTGGGGAAGAAGGGGTGTCCCCAGTGCTTTAAGGCTGCCAGGGCTCAAATGGCACTGGGGGAGGCTGCAGGAGCTATTTTTGGTGGGGAGGTTGGATGCTCTTGCAGTGCCACCTCTGGCTCCATACCCTGGGTGTGCTGTTCCATTACCTTCTCCCAGTGTGGGTCGGGGTGAGGGGACACCCTGTGGCTGTCCCCACCTGCAGCTCACCTCACAGATGCTGGGCAGGGTTTCATTGGTGCCAAGGCTGCCTGAGCAGGAGCGTGGGGACACGGCTGGAGGTCAGGCAGGGCCAGCCGTGCCCCCAGGGTCACACCCGTCCCCTCCTGCACCCCTCTGTCCCCAGCATGGGCTCCTTGCCATTGCCACCACGACCATGGACTGAAACAGGAACTTACTTCAACTTCACTTTATTGTTTTCTTAATAAACTTCCTCTCCCCTGGACGAATATAGTGTTACAGTCGTTAGCTTATCTCGTACTTGTGCAGTCCTTACACGCTACGCTAACAGCGATGGAGCCCAACAGGAGGAAAATAAAAACAACCCAGAAACTACGATAGAAAGGCACTTCGAGACCGTTAAAATACTGATGTCCTGGAATGTGCAACAACAAACCGACGAGGAGCGAGGAGACGTTTCACCGGCCGGGGCGGCCTGGTCGAGGGCCCGCAGCCATGCTGGGCTAGGGCAGCGCCGG